TATCCTTCGGACTTCACCTTCACGCACAATCCTCGGTTCATCGATTCAACCATACACTCGGAAGCACTAGACTCGAGTTTAGCTCTTATTAGAGCTCATCAGTAGTGCATATCCTGTCCTGTCCGGGATTTGAACTCCGGACCCATCTCATCGAAGGTGTGTGCTTTACCACTGTGCCAACCAGCTCATGCCACGGCTGAACCAAATTGCCAATTCATGTTTGTTTAGGTGTCGCCTTCAGTGATGGTCAGTCCAGAGTGGCCCGACAGCAACGAATGGAGACACAGATGACGCACTGTTACCTCCAATCGAAAGCCTCCCACCAAATCAGGACTTCCTTGCAAGTACGGACTGATTCGCCAACGAATCTACATATCAAATTATTTTTAAAAAAAATAACTGATTGGTGCTTGTTAGGGTCAGTCAGGGAGCAAACACACGAGGCAGCGATTGAAGCGCGGACAGCCGACGGTGTAAGACCAAGATCGTCGCCACTGTACTCACGTCATTTTCACGTGACTGATAAACTTGCCGATTGCGTTGGGTACTGAACGACTCGATCACATAGGAAACTTCGTCGTATACAGAGCCAATGAGGAGGGAACTGAAACACTGGAGAACTCTCAATAATTCACAGACTGTCTCTGTGCAACAACCGGGAAATTGCCCATTCTCGAATAATCGATACAGGCCAATTTGACCATAGTCCTTAAAATAGTGAACACAAAGGTATTTATACACTACGTGATATACAGTTTGATAGAAAATGTTGAGCCCAATCAAATCATTCAAAACATTTTGACAGATGAAGCTTTAAGGAAAAACCATAATTATATCCTCCAATTATTAACTTTTTTCCTAAAACATCGCAAGCTTCGTATTCTAGTAAAAAAACATTTGGCTTTCTAGATTACTACGGTATTTGGATGGGGAAACAATAACAACTGATGCTTCAATGTATCGATCAACCGGGCCCAAAGTACCCGTAAGAGTATCTGGAACATTCAAGTTTGACGTAATTCAGACCCATCAACCCGATGCCGATTGTACCGCGAAAGAAAGGACAGCACACTTTTATGACTTTGTAAACTGGAAAACATAACTGACTTCCGGGGGAAAATAAAGGAAAAATAAACAAGCATGTGCAATTGCGATCAATCATGGGATGATATGCTCCAATTTGGCAAAGCAGAATATCACAAGATTGCATAATCTAACGAAGCAAAATCTCAGGCATAGGGCATTTTTAATGAATAAACCTTACTTATAAGTTGGGAAGATGAAAATTTGAGTTTAACTTACGTCGAAACGCCGTAAAACTGTTTTCAAGAATAACGGAACAATACCGTTCAGTTTTTCTTAACTCCGTCTCGTGTTATGCTTTCTACTCTGATTTAGAACGCTAGAGAGCGGATTCAATGAGCCATTGATAGTGGAACGTTGATCGAGCTTCTTGAAAGTTCGGAAGCATTCATTCAAGGCTGCAGCATACCGATGATCAGACAATCTTGTACCAACTCAAGGGATTCCAAGTTGCGCCAATCGCAGAAAATCAATCAATCAGATTGAAAAGAGGGTTGAGAGGAATTTAATAATTTGAGGCAACTAGAGAGAAGGACAATGTGTTGTCTCAAGCCATGGTTCGCCATCTCCTTGAAGTATACATTGTATCACATCTCTTTATTAACAATATTCACACCGTACATTTGTTGTCAAACCTGGCTTGAGGGTATGAAAACCCTGACCAGGAGGCTGGTTCACATAGGTCCCGTTAGGCTCCCTGACTAGAGGCGCCGAGATCACGGTCACCGAGGGTTAGAAAAACAGTGATCTCGGCGCCTCTAGTCAGGGAGCCTA